CGCGGTACAGCGGTACGGGCGCAGCAAAGATAAAAACATGTGACGTCACGTCACCACTTCGACTTCGAGGTTATTTTGTTTGGGAAACAGTCGGCGTTTGCGCCAGAATGCCAGTTTTCTCACCTCTTTCTTGTGGGTTTTAAGCAAACGCGCAGTGAAATGGGAGCAACTAGAGTTTATTTTGTCATAAGGTAGTGTGATTATGCATGACACGAAGTATTTGCTAGTCTAGTACTGGAGAAATTAGCGTTTGGATGCGCATTGTGAGCCTTTAACCAATCACCAATTTGGAACATGTATGGATATTCATATTTTATGAATGAACCCGACCATCACTTTTGCACAGTTTTAGCCGATTCACCGATTTTCAACTGACACGCACGTCACTAGCGTAAATTTATGCTGCCATCTTAATTTTTCCAATTATTGTACCCAAATATTCAGCTGAGAAGACAACTGAAAATCAGGATATTTACGGCAATGGCGTCTTACCGTCAATGTATCAATCTCCAACCATATTTTGTATATCGTGAACATGTGAAGAAATTATGGCCAAGTGGACCTCTATCGCGTATGTCTAGCTTTAGTGACAGTAGCCACAAGTTACCTTCTCACTTCTCACTACATGAAACAGTCGTAGAGCCTGGTCGAGCTGCAGTCACGGTTACATACAAGGGAAAGTGTAACTACAGACTGTGGACAGTGCAGAGATAGACAGCCAAACCCAGGCAGCGCACTGCTTGTTCAAATTGTTGTATTGGGTGGCGCGGGTCGTAGGTTAATAGGTTTCCATGTGATAAGAGTTCGTTGTATAACCCAGTTTTTAGAGACTGGAAGTGAATTATGAATATAACTTAAGCCGTATAACTAGTAATAGTACTAATAGTCTAATAGTAATACTAATACTACTTTACTACTACTACTACTAGTACTGTACTAGTAGTAGTAGTACTAGTAGTAGTACTAGTATAATTAGATTCAACTTTCATTGACACACTAGTCCCTACTGCAGATGGGGTCGTTGTCATATCAGGCACTACAGATATGTACCCGAGGTAGTTTTAGGTTGTTTAGTATTGTTTATATTTTTATATGAGGTATGTTTAGCCGTTAGGGTTAGGGTTAGGGCTAGGGTTAAGGTTAGGGTACACTTCTGTAGTACAAGTCTGGTACACTTTGTGTATACATATATGTACCTCGGGTTACCGGGTACATATCTGTAGTACCTGATACGACAACGACCCCTTCAGTGTCACTACTGACTATACAGTATAATGACTACTGACAGTACTGTCACTAGTGAGTAGTGTGAACTGTGATTCACTAACCATGAATCTTCTTCGTCCGTGCAATCATCAGAGCCAACATCGAGCAGATCTACAGTGTCTAAACTTATATCACATTCTCCATGCTCACTTCCGCTGTCTTCCAAAGTTTCGTTAGCATTAACACTATCATTGCAAAGGTCACTTCCACTTTCGTTGTGATTTTCTATGCAGCCATTTCTACTTCGTTCTCGATTCTTGCGCAGCTCTTTATTTTGTATCTCCAACTTTCTGACTAGATCTTTTAACTGTTCCACTTCCTCGTGGCGTCCTTTACTATCTACACCTTTGTCCATGGTGGCCTGGAGTCGATCAACAACATAAAGCCAAGACAATTAATAACTAAGATAAGCTAGTAGTAATAGAACTTGAAGTTCTCCATCGTCACAAACAGGTCTACGCGCATCCGGAAATAACAGTAAATAGAGTTGTCAAACTTCTGGTTCCGATTCCTGAGCGAGTGACGACGACGATGGCAATGCGGACATAGCGGTGCGCCAGAAAGGCGCGTGCGTACTTTATACACTAAATGAATAAATCATACTGATAAATAAGTAAATATATAAATTTATGTTATATATAGTGATATATAACAAAAAATAACTAATAAAAATAGAATATGATGTGTCAACAGCCGTGTGTATATAGCCCGCGGCCCGCGTACTCCCAAAAGCTTGACACCTCATTCTATTTTCTACGTCTATTTTCCATATCTAATCGGGTGTCCGTGTTTATATATATATATTATACACACATGTGCATGTATATTTGTGCAATATATAAAAATCATCTATAGATTTTTATATTGCTTATATCAGGAGTTAATAATGACAATTTGTCATTATTAGCCCCTGCTTTTATCTTACTAGATAAGGATTTTCATTACAAAAATCTATAGAGAAATTTTAGACTTGCTCTAATTTTTTCTTGTTCTAATTTTAGAATTGTTCATGGGGTCCACCGCGTAAAAAGGCCATGGGTAAAGGTAGATCCATGTGTACCAGGGGGTGGGGACGGGAAAAACACTGTACTTGCTCCCCATACGTGGGGTCTAGCCGTGCTATTTTATGTTTCAGACGGCAAATTTTGGTATTTGATGAGTAATTCTGTGAGAGAAAATTCATAACACGAATGTATTGATGCTTATGGCTCATTGCTTCATGTGTTTCACGCTTCTTCTAGTATTTATTAATTCTTGAATGCGAGTGGCCATGGTACGGCACTGGATCCACAAGTCACAACCAATATAGGACACACTTTTTTTGAGTATATTCATAATATTGTTTCATGGTTTATTCATATGTTATATTCATTGCTTATTATCAGGTATATTAGGTATTATTAGGTATATATATTTATTGTTAAATAGTAGATTATCATAGTATTGCATATGGTTTTATCAGGTGTAAATAATAATAGATATTATCATAATAGATATTATCATAATAGATATTACATCTATTATTATTCATTACTGATTTTATAGCATCTACTATGTCTACTATGTACTACTTATAGTCTCTAGATAAATTCTGCTCATCTAGAGGCCTTGATTAGCACCATAGATATAGAATGAAGATCTTTATTCTATATCTATGTTAGCACCAACTTGAATAGAAGGAGCTGTATAAAGACAGGGTAGACCAAGTAGACATACTATATTATACCGGAAAACAATATATATGCAATCAGGAGCTAATAATGACAAATTAGCTCCTGATACAATATATACAATCAGGTACAATGTATATATTCGTGTATGATTAGCAGCAAAAAACCTCTGGTGACGCGCCACCTGATGGATTATTTCTGCGACAAATTATTAGAAATTTGCATTATAATTAGAAATATAACGTTTATGTGCATGTTCCGTTTATGAATAATATATGCTTCAAATTTTTATAGTATATTATAAACTGAAAAGAAAAGTAGATGTAAAAATAGCCAATTTCGGCCTGTCGCATCCGCTTTCAACCACCGTATTTGTTCATTGTAAATGCGCATGTGCTGCGGGATGCGCGAAAACCCGCGAAATGGCGTCAAAGATGGCTACGTTTTATTCATTCCACTAACAAAAACGCCACCGTTTTCTCCGAAGGAAGTTCTATGGTGTATATCTAGGAAATAAAGGTAGACGTTGCTTTTGTTTTCATAAAGTTATTAAACATGTTACTGTTTATTGGTATTGAATATCTGCATAGTACTGGATTAGTGAAAATAGCAGATATTTCATTATTTGGTTCCAGCGAGATAATGGGCTCTCCGGCTGAGGTCGTTGACACAAAAGCCGAAAACCGCTTGTCGGCATTTACTTTTGTTTCGGAGCATTATATCATATCGCTACTTGTGAGCAGAAAAACAAACCAAGCATGTACATGAACCATCTTCCTCGTAAACCCATAAACATTGAAATTTGTCACTGAGCGAATTGTAACTAGGGCCTAATCATGAATCATTATCATTCATTCATTGTCATTGAATGTGATGTTACAACCGGTTTGTACAAAATAAATTATGTTCCTAGTATAATCACGTGATTTTAGCCATGATTTATGAGAATTTAATTCAGTTATATGGCCTAATCAATAGTATTACTCTTAGTAATATTATTACCTTGGTGATGATCACTGAAATTTACAATTAAAGGCTCACAATGCGCATCCAAACGCTAATTTCTCCAGTACTAGACTAGCAAATACTTCGTGTCATGCATAATCACACTACCTTATGGCAAAATAAACTCTAGTTGCTCCCATTTCACTGCGCGTTTGCTTAAAACCCACAAGAAAGAGGTGAGAAAACTGGCATTCTGGCGCAAACGCCGACTGTTTGCCAAACAAAATAGCCTCGAAGTGATGACGTGACGTCACATGTTTTTATCTTTGCTGCGCCCGTACCGCTGTACCGCAGCACCGCTGCACGGTTGCTTGGGGATTGGGGAAACTGTCAACAACATCGGAGAATTTCAACAACATTGGAGGTATTTTCAAAATACCTTTTATAAGACAACGTGCAGTGAAATGGGAGGAACTAGAGTTTATTTTGCCATAAGGTAGTATGATTATGCATGACACGAAGTATTTGCTAGTCTAGTACTGGGGAAATTAGCGTTTGTATACGCATTGTGAGCCTTTAAGAAGTGGGTATATTAATTTCTCTTCTTCTGTCTTCTGTCTATTATTGAGTATTAAGATATGAATTATGATACCAAGTATCAGGCAGTTGTTACCACTTAAGTATCCCTGTTATACTCTGTTACTCTTAAGGATACTCTCCACCTTTTGCACGGGTATTGCTCTAATGAAGATTAACGTTTATTGGCGAATGAATCGAATCAATCACTTGTTTCATTTATAGAGGAGATATATCGCTATGCTCAAGCCAAAAAATTTCATGAAATTTCCAGCACCTAATTATGTTACGACACAAATTTTGAATTTTTATGTAAAAATGGCATTTTTGATATTTCTCAACTACCAGAAAGAGTGAGGATACAAAATTTTCGCCACATGTTAAGCACAATATGGACCAAAATTGTGCATCAGGATTTTTCTTTACTTTTCATATTTACCGAGAAAACTGGAAAAAACTGCTTAAAAATCAAGTTGTGTAGAATTGAAAATTTTAGCGAATAAAGAGGCATAACTAATAAAATACGGCACTTAATAACAATCCCTAATGCAGTTCTTTACCGCAATATGTTACCATTAAAACGAGTGTAAAATTAAATTAATCCGAGTTGTAATCACAGAGAAATATCCATTTATACATCGGCTACTATGTCAGAAATCGAAACGGAGAAATCAGGGTTTTTCTATTTTTCACAATGAGTGACCGCCTGTGTGCAAAATGGGTGAACGTATGTGAAATATCTACTGTTAGTACTTACTGCGACATGTCCATGACTAACTGACACCACTAAATTGGTAAAATGTTCCATGCACCTTGAGAAATTCTGAGAAATTACGAGGTTACCATCGCAGAACGCGCGAACTCCGCTCATCCTGACGTCACAAAGCTAATAATTTTTATGTCAACAAACGCGCACCTTGTACCGCACTACAGTAAGGTGTGTTGCGAGGTGTTAGAACTATTTTGGGCGTGCGATACTTGTTGGATCACTAGCAGATGTACATGAATGTACATGAATACATGTAATGACAGCTGTAGCAGGGTTGACGCTGAATGATACTGGCTTATTTATTACTAGTGAATATCGTGGTTGTATCATGTCTCTGACGTCATCATGACGTCAGCCGCTGCTTACTACACATGTGGCACATAGTGTTAGCCATCGAATAAAATTTAAAACGAAAAATCGGTAAAATTTTGCCTAAAACCTTGAGAGTATGCTTAATACCTATATTAATTCCTCTTCTTCTGACTTCTGTCTATTATTGAGTATTAAGATATGAATTATGATACCAATATCAGGCAGTTGTTACCACTTGTTAAGTGACCCTGTTATACTCTTAATAATGTTTGTGAATGTTTTCAGATCTCTTAGGCTCCAAATGCGTCGCTTGTAATCAGCAGACTGACTGCAAAAGAAAGCAAAACCCAACGAGAGTAAAGAGTAAATTCACATGGTGATGTTCAAACATGCCACATGGACCCAGATGTCACTTTTTACGACCTGACCGTTGAGAAGAATGACAATGCCGACACTGCAAAGGCCCTAAGGTTTGCATGCTCACATAAGTTTTGTCAGTAACTGATGAATCTGTTACATTACACCAACAGATTAGTGAATTGCTTTACTAAACTATTATTGTAGTCTTATTCTTGGTCGACCATGTGCAGATACATATACCGAATGTATGTAGATACAGTAGTTGATTTCTAAGTAGCTATTACAGTTATGCAAAATGACAATTCATACTTTGGATTTTTGAGACGAGTAAAACAAAGCACGGGAACAATCGTATGTGGGATAAAAAAAATTCTGTGTTCGTTTAATGTCGAACATCGCCTCTCATATAACATTGCAGTGCGATTGAGAACATTGCCAGGCTTTTGTCTGCTGACCCAGCTACTGAGACAGAAGGAGAAGAAACTGAAGAGAGAAGCGATTCATTGCAGCCGAAACGAACTGCCGACCGTGACGCGTCCCGAAGGTACAGCGTTACAATCGAAATAGCTCCCATTGATCGTCGCTAAAGCGTTCGTGTCAGACTATAGTCCGATTCACGGGGAGGAGTTATGATTGGGCTGCTAGCCAGCATAGTTGTATGTTGTAATGTGAAATGCTAAAAGCATGGCTACCATGAAATCTATGTTAGTAGCCACCTTTATAGGATGGCCACCCATTGATAAATGCCATTTTATGTTTTGGCCTGCCTTTTAGAACTTTCCCTAAGTCCTGGAGATCTGTTCGCATATGAGATGTAATAATGTACTTGTCTGGTTTACTGTTATAATGCAGAAAGCCTAAAATTGTTCATCGGAACGCTAAACGGGATAAGGAGATTGAGGATAGATTCTCAGAGCCAGAAACAGTCGAAACAGATACAAGCACCATAGAGGGCAGCAGGTAAAACACATCTAAAACACCTTTAAAAATCAACCATTACCATGCCACAACCGACAACAAAACAAACGTGATTCTCTTTTTTGATGTGGTTATATTTTGCGTAAATGGCAATTGGTTGCCGAGTGTGTCGTATGGAATTGTATTGTGTTGTATTTCGTTATTGATAGACCTTGTTACATCCGTACACAGACGTGAACGCACGTGCACGTTTGCGTTGACTACAGTTCTGAGCGTGTTTTAACATTTCTCGATCCAGCAAGGGCAGTGGCGTACATCTCAACGGAGATGCCGTCGCAACACACGGGGAAGAAGATGCGAACATCAGTGTTGTGAAGCGACGCGCAGAGAGATCCTTATCGCGACGGTAAGCCTCGCGCCACAATAAAAAAATCTTTGTTTGTCCTCACCCGACCCAGGCTGAAAAGTTTGGGTAGGTAGGTAGGCTTCTTTTTTTGAGGGGGTCTTTTTAGAAATTCAGCATGGTGTCTACATGCTCGGGTGTGCTTGTGTGGAGATACATTTTATGTTAAATGTTTGTTTTGCTTGGTACAGTATTGCCTATAGATTTATATAATGTACAGTGATACAATTTGTATAAAAAAAAAGATTGGGAAAGACCAATAAAAAATTTTGAGTCGGCCCTTTTTTGGCGGGTCGGTCAAGTGAGGACAAACAAACAATATTTTTATTATGGCCTGACAAGGTCAATGATTTCACTCTTGCCGTCTCCTCTACGCTGCACTCTGGCAAAATTTCCCCTAACGCTCGTTCATAGCATGTTTTTCTAAGACGGTGGGTCGGGGGCTTTCTTTGCTTTGCAGAAAGCCGAAGATCGTGCTCCATCACAATTTGGTTGTGGGAACGAAGGACAACGGAGAGGGGACGGCTCGCGTGGAGCGGGAGACAGGGACAGCTAGCGATCGAGGGAGGTTAGAAAACGGCGACGTCGAGTTGGATGAAGACGGGAATCCATTGCTACCTGAAGGCAGGTTACGCAGTACACCACTGTACATGTGCAGCTTTTGCAATAACGTAGATGCATTAGAACAGGGTTCGTAGCGGGTCTTCCAAAGTCTTATAAGTACTTATTTTGCCAAAAATCAAATAAGGGCCCTTATTAGTAATTATTTTTGGTGAAATCTTAGAAACGTACTTAATAGTACTTATGTTTTGCCAAAAGACCATTTTTCAACATTGTTATATAAACTGTTCTCGACTTAGAGTATGAATTGTTGTATATATATAATACGGAATAATTAAATCTGCTGTGTAATTGTGTATATAAATATTATTAGTGTACTTTAATAGTCGGTGATCTATCAGAAATCGCATAAAAAAGTCTTATTTTGGCCTCCAGAAAGGGTCTTATAAGCCCATATTTCAACATGTGTCTTACTACTATGAACCCTGTAGAAGGATGATTCCATGGCAAATTGCTCATTTGCTCATCCTGATTCCAACTGTGTTTGATTGCAGTTGAACTGTGCTGTTCCATACATGTACCTTTTGGAGGAGTTTCTTTAGTAAATGATTGCTGAGTGTCTTCTTCCTTCTTGTGTTCACAATTAAAATGTGGAACGTGTGTGTCTTCAGGAACTGTGATTGTGAACCCTGAACCTGTAGAAGAGAGTAACCTAGAGTTCAGGGGACCTGAGTTCGATACCCTAGGGATAAAACACAAGAACGTTGACTTTGGTATGGCTAGACAATTCCGTCATGATCTTTATTTCTAGTGTGACTTGCTGTTAATTTTTGTGCTAGCTTGAACTCTTGTTTGAGAATGATATTTTAATAGGTCAAATTATTTTCTGTTTTCAGAATTTTTTCGTTTGCTTTTATCTAACCACATGCCACATCATTATTCAGTATTAAATGTTAAAATTTAAAATTTCCCCTTTACCACACCTCTATAACATGACTGTTAAAATGTGATTGTGTTATTTTAATAGATAACCCTTTGGCCAATTCTGTGCATTGCACGGTGTGTAATGAGCAGTTGGTGTTGGTGCTAGGATCCAATGCAAGGCGACACCCAGACTTAAATGTTTTAATCTGTAAGGTATGTATATAATGAATGCAGGGTGCAAAATTAATGGGAGTCCAGGGTCAAATACTCCCTGCTTTACTGTCGGACTCCCTGATTTGACATATGCAGGAGTCCGTGTGACTCCCTGAAAATTCTGCCATACTAACTATAGTTCGTTCCGAAGCACGGCCTCGTGGAATTACTGTATTTTTTCAGCTAATGTCCAAAGAAAATTTGGCAGACGTGCAACTGCATGAATCTTAAAATTTAGCACATGCGTTATTGTTAATATCTTTAATTTTGAACCTCAGACTGCGGACTCCCTCATTTTGGTGCGGACTCCCTCTTTTTGAGGGTAGGGAGTCCGTTGGACTCCTTTGTTCAAAAGTTAATTTCTACCCCTGTGAATGAATGTAAGAAATAAAGTAAGAACTGGCATTGTGTATAAAGTTATTTAGTCAAGACCAGTGAAACCTGCCCCTGTTCAATTAGAAGAGTTACAATTCCCACATAAATTAATAATGAGAATCCACGCTTAATGTTCTCAAAATGACGTCGTGATGTGGGCACAACGTTGTACATCGATGTGCCAACAAGCACGAAAGTGTTGAAGTATAACTGAAGCCAGCTTATCGGGTCCATGTGGGCTAAGTTGGACGCTAGTTTGGCATCACTGATCTCTTGTCAGTAATGCCGCAGTCGAGTCGTCCATCTTGTTAACGACGTCCGAGGGATGATCAAACGTGCGCGTGTGCGTTACCATTGCAGAAGTGTCACGACTTTCACGACAGCGGCAAGTGGACCACCGACGACGATGGCGTCGACGAATTCTGCCGTTGGTGCTCGCAGGGCGGGCGGCTCACCTGCTGCGACTTCTGCAGCAATGTCTTCTGCCGCTCGTGCATCAAGAACAATCTCGGCCGCGGCGAGCTGCGGCGCCTCGGCGAAATGGACGACGACGACAAATGGCGATGCTACGTCTGCAACCCGCTGCCCCTCTCCGCGCAGAAATCCACATGTGAGCAGTTCTTCTCGCGGCTAGACGACCTCACGCACCAGAAGAAGCAGCAGAAAGCGCGCGCGCACGCGGGCAGACGCGTTAACGCGACGTATCTCGTCGGCGTCATCGACGAACTGCAGACGTCGCTCGACTCGCTCACGGCCTACCTCGCGAGCGTGCGCAAGGAGGTCGCGCCGAGGTCGCGCGTGAAGGAGGAGCCGGGAGAGAGCGACAGTAGCACGGGCTCGCGGCGCGTCCGGGAGAAGACCGGCGGCGGCGTTGTCGCGGAGGAGGTGAAATACGGCGTCGCGCTCTGTGTGCTCAAGCACAAGAAACTCGTGAAGAAGGCCGTCAAGTCGCTGCTTAAGCCTCCGAAACACGCAATACCTGACCAGCCGCCGAGGCCAGCCGTCTCCCAGAAGAGGGAAGACTCAGAGGAGGAGTCGGCTCGCGCGGACACCCCCGCAAACACACCCACAGACACGCACACAGACACACCTGCGGACACGCACGCAGAGCCAACTTCAGAACTGAAACCGGTCGACGACGACGAGAAGGGGGCGCCACCGTCCGACGACGAGAGCGTCGCTCGTGTGGTCGAACTGACGGACGAGACGTCGCCGCAACCGATCTCCGACGACGACGACGACGTTGAGCAGCTTGCTGACTTTGACGTGATCGACGAGACCGCCGCGGAGGAGGAGGAGGAGGGAGGCGCGCGCGGCAGCGACGCCGCGTCTGTCGACTCGCTGCGACTAACGTCCGGATCGCGGTCGGTGAAGGTCGTCGAGATTCCCGTCGAGCGACCCACGCCCGTCGTCATCGTGCTCGACACGACGATCGAGGAACAGCCAACGTCGACCGACGAGCAGCCAGCGTCGCCCCTGACGACCGAGGAGCAGCCAGAGTCGCCCCCGGCAACCGAGGAGCAGGCAGCATCGCCCCCGGCGAACGAGGAGCAGCCAGCGTCGCCCCTGGAGACCGAGGAGCAGGCAGCGTCGCCCCCGGCAACCGAGGAGCAGCCAGCGTCGCCCCCGGAGACCAAGGAGCAGCCAGAATCGCCCCCGGCGAACGAGGAGCAGCCAGCGTCGCCCCCGGTGACCGAGGAGCAGGCAGCGTCGCCCCCGGCAACGGAGGAGCAGCCAGCGTCGCCCCCGACGACCACCGCACGCACGACGCGCAAGCGGAAGCGCGAGGCGGAGGAGGTTACCGCAGTACGTAGCGAGGCCGCGGCAGAGGCAGACCCGTGCGAGGAGGACACCGCAGACGGGAAGAAGTGCGAGAAGAAGAGGACACGGCGCGAGGGCGAGAAGCTGGTCTCGAAGATCGAAGAGGAGAAGGAGGAGGAGGAGGTGGCCAGCTGTGAGGAGAAGGTCGTAGAGGCGTCTGTGATAACAGACGACGTCGGCGAGAGTGAAGCCAACGTCTTGGATTCGACCGAGCAGCTGCCGGAAGACATCTCCAAGCCAACAAAGAACGCGGCGGCGAGAAAGGAGGAGAAGAAGGAGGAGGAGGACGAAGGGGAGGACTCGGTGGTCCTGTTCGACTCGGACGCCTCTCCCGAGAAGAAGAAACCCAAGCGGGTGCAGCGCGTGAAGGAGCTCGCCGCGGAGGTCAAGAAGCTCGCGAAGGAAGGTTCGGACAGCGAGGAGGAGGGTGTCGCGGCGGAGGAGGTCGTGCAACAGCATTCGGCGCGGATCGCGCGCACGCGGGAAGACGTGGAGGCGGAGCGCAGCCTCCAGGTGGCGATGGAGCGCGAGCTGAACGCGATGAGCTCGGACGACGACGACGTCTCCGCGACGACGCGGCAGCGGCGCGGCGGGCGGCGCGGGGCGGCGGTGCGGCGAGACAGCAAGCTGAAGGGCAACGCGGTCGTGAGCCTTGTTCCGCTGAGAGAAGACGTGCTGCTCACCGTCAACACTCTCGAGACGAAGAAGAAGAAGGCGGGAAGACAAGTGGAGAAGGCCGAGAGAAAAGCGGGTCCGCTGTCCAGCAAGAAGGCGAAGGCCGCGGGAAAGGTCGCGGGAAGGTCTGAGGAGGACTCGGACAGCGACATCGATAAGGAGATTGAGAAGCTCGCGCACGTCACGTTCACGAAGCACGGCGAAGCGGCGAACAGCGACACCGGCGAGGACGGCAGTGATGACGATGCTGAGTCGGACGGAACCAAACCTCGGCCCAGCGTGGACTCGAAAGGTAAGTGAGCGTGCATGAGCTTCACAAGAGTAGAAACCATGCCCTGAGGTGGAGGAGAGGGGGAGATTTACCTGTGGCTGATGTACATACGCTTTTTGAATTGAAAATAAATGTCGAAATTGTCGAAAACTTCTTCACCTGCTGACTGATTCCCACCAAATCTAGTAATAATCGAGGCGTAGGGAGTAGGAGGGATGTATTTTGGCACTTTAATAAAACAGAAATGTTTTAACATGTCTTACGAAGTGAGGGTGTGATGTATTAAAACAATTTATTCATTTATTACTATTTAGTTATTACTTATACTGTTTATATTTAGTTATAGTGGTTTATTTTGTGGTGACAGTTAAAACTCATATCCATCGCCATGTTGACACGAAAACATGTAAACGTATGTGTGTTGTTACTGAAGTGAAGTGCGCGAGAGAGATGCTGTTTCTGTATAAAAAAACTACTCTGCAGTTACAGAATCTAAGCCAAAATGCAGTAGAAAGCCCAAAAAGGTAAAGGAAGGTGTAGAGTCTTCCAGCAGCTCAGATGAAGGCAACAACGATGCCGCTGCCGCCTCCGAAGAGAGCGAAGGCGATACTGTATCAACACTGAAAGTGAAGCTTGTAAAGGTAATTTCGCGCTGCTTGTATTCAGGCGTGAATGTTCGTGTAGAATTCCAATAAGTTACTGATTGTTATCAGTTGCGGTTGCTATGGTGAATGAATAAATAAATAAATAAACAAGGCCACCATTCGATGATTCATTGTTGTTGTCGTCATCCAACCGAGTGTATTAGATGGGGGTCGGTGCACAAATTTTGCGCTTTTGTCATGATTTTCAAACAATATAATCACCTGAATGTAGTTAAGCTATTAAAAAGGGAAACGTTCGTTAACGTGATTATAATTACGTTATGGATAAGCCCAGTCGTGTTATTAAAAAAAAGAAATCATTTTGAAAGCAGAGTCGCGACATTAATAAGTAGTGTTGTGTAAGTGAGTAATGTACGTAGTAAGTATTGAGCAGACCTGCCAACCCTTACGATTTTTTCGTATTCCTTACGAATTCCATGATGTTTCTACGAATGTACGATCAAACTGAAAAACTTACGATTTTTTACGATTTGTGAAAATTAATGTTTTTTACATTGTGAGCCGAGAAATATCTGGCGATTTAGTGGGCGCTGCCATATTGGATCACGCGTTCATGTTGATTCTCGCGTGATCTAGAGTTAGTCCATCATTCATTGCGTGCGCGATAAGCATACAGACACAAAATGGCCGGGCCTGACTGGCAAAAAAAGGAAAGCCTTACTATTTTCATGGAATCAACAGGTTGGCAGGTCTGATATTGAGATTAGTGACAAACTCGCTTCCATCGGCAGGGACGTTCGTTCACATCTGACGTAAAGCCGCCCCTGTGTGCGGCAGGGAAGGGCAAGCAGGTGAACCCGAACGAGGCAGCTAAGGATGCGCTGAAGGCTGAGATCGCAGCCGAGCTGGAGGCAGGCAGCGAGACGAGCAGCTCTGACGAGGAAATGCTTGTTGCAGGTGATCCAGGAGGCGTCAGAGAGTGGGGGCGGGTGGATGGCGGGCAGCAGAGTGCAGGCCCGGAAGGGGGGGGGGAGGCGCGGGGAAGAGTGCGCAGGCGGGGGCGGGAGCAGGAGAGAGTGCAGGCGGGGGGCGCGGCAGGCAGGAGAGAGTGCAAGGCGGGAGCGAGTGCAGGCGGGGGGCGGGAGAGAGGTGCAGGCGGGGGGCGGGAGGGCGCGGAGGGAGTCAGGGTGGAGGGCGGGGGCGGGATGGGTCCTTTCGGGAGGTTTACCGGAGAGATCGAAGCTGGTGCAGCACCGTTGTCAGTGATTGCAGTGATTGCCTAACCGTTCGCACGTACACTCACTCGAGTCTCCTGATCTCCCGGAGAGAACTCTCCACTGTTTTTTTTATATTAATTTTATTCTTGAAATGTATAGGACAGATGGAATATTAAGACATTCGATGGTTTAGGATGTTTGTATGAAATGCTGCATGTTGTCCTCCCCACCCCTTCACCCATGGGCACCGCCAGAAAGACCGAGAATGCACACTTTCCCCTCTCTTTCCTTCAGACGATGCCAGAGGAGATAGTCTCACAGTAAACGCTTTGCACCTGATTCCTCTCCCATCGCTGCTTCCTCTTCCACACGCGTGAATATAGAGTGAATGAGTGCTCCTGTATTCGCGGCATACTGACCCGTTAACCCCCCGAGAATTCTTATCGCTGCTCAGGGTGTTAGCCAGGAAAAAAAAATCAGGGAGTCTCGCCATCTGGGCGAAGCTAGGATGCTGCGGGTGCGAAGCGCTATAGGGGGGAGGGCCTTACCTTAAAATGGAGGAAATTTAGTCTGTAATGCAAAAAGACAGGAACCCGATATGATTTAATATTCTTATGTCATACATTATATACAGCACTGTTGTCAGTTATACAAGGTGTATAATATATATAATTGGGCCGCCCTCATGCCGTCTCTATCAAGTTCCATTCGTCTCATCCAAGAATCGGCCGTCCAAAAGACGGGTAGACAGCTCTCTGGCTAACACACTGTCGCCGCTCAGATTCAGTAAGCCACACATCGTCTTTTGCAGAGGTGAAGCAGAAGGCGCAGAAACAGAAGAAGAGCGCGAAGAAGGAAGAAGGGGATAGCGACGACAAGCAGAAGGGCGGGACGACGTCGGACGACGGCGCCAATTCGGACTCGTCTGACTTTGTGAGCCCGATGAAGAAGAGTGCGGCGCGCTACCGCAGCAAGCTGCTGCGAGTGAAGCTCTCAGAGAGCGACTCGGACGACGGCGGCAAGAAGAGCAAGGATGGGAAGACACAGAAGAATGAGAAGAAGAAGCCGTGAGTAGAGTAGTACGATGCAGGCTACAGACCGAGGCTGAGAGTAGTACGATGCAGACTACAGACCGAGGGTGTTTCTTATTTATTAATTTAACAGCAGAAGGATTTCAATATCTTATAAACGACACTTATTTCAGTTATAATGTGGACGAATTTGTCATAAAATGAATATCGTTCGGTTAAATAGCATTTAGGTATATTATAAATATAATTGCACTTTTGTGAGGGTATAACACTACTAGGTATAAATGCAGGCAATTAATTTATTGATAGGGAACTAGGTGCGGTCACTAGACGTGTTTGCACCGAGAGCTGAGATGTGTTGCTTCCATGGATTGTCATTGAGCATGCTAGACATCGAGGCATATACCTTGGCTAATAAATAAATAGCAAACAAAGATAGTTAAAAAGTTATTAATGTGGTCCTATATACTGACCTGAGATGAGAAATTTGTTGTAAGCATCAATACGCGGTGGGTCACTCGCCACTTCTTTATAGTAAGAAATGTAAGAGTCACATGGTCAAGGTCAGATGTTAATTGAACGAGGTGAGTGATTGTGCTGACGACTGGGCAGTGCATAAGCCATATAGGAAAGTCCCCGCCGCCATATTGAGATCAGATAAGAGGGGTGATAAGTTGCCTATATGTAACATATAGTTACGATAGTACTAGTCTAGGTTTTTGATCTATAATTCTCTTCACTAACATCGTACTAAAATACACAGGTGCGTTTCTGTTTACAGAAACATTTACAAATTCGATTGTGGTCGTTTGGGATATTTTGCAATGTTTGTGTTGCAAAAACTAAAAACGCACGAGTGTTTACATATAATCATGTACTTTCCGTAGCGCGCCGCGGCCATTTTATCCCCCTTTTTTCTATGACCTAAATAACACAGCTGGACTTTCTGATATCACTTATTGTTTGCAGGCGTAAGGAGCGCACGCGTCACAGCAGCAGTGAGATCGCGTTCAGTCAGTCAGACTCCAATGACGACAGCGATAATAGCGACTCCAGCGCAAAAAAACTCAAGAAAAACAAGCGAAAGAGGTCTGACACGTCAAGCAGTGACGAGGTGAGAGAAGGTGGAGGGAGGGGGGGAGGGTGAGAGAGGGAGAGAAGGGGAAAGGAGAGGGAGGGAGAGGGAGAGAGAGAGAGAGAGAGGGGGGGAGCGTACGAGAACGAGACCATGAACGAGAGTGAGATTCCCTATTGGGATGACGGGTCTGTTGAGTATAGTTATTCTTTGATGATATCAAGAAGTTGTATTTCTTACCACGTTGTACATGTTGTATAGTTTTATTATCACATTCTTTTAAAAATGCCCCCGCTGCGATCGGTTTACGTGGGTACAGGCAACAATGAGTAGACTGAGCATGGTCTTAGGCATGGGTACCTTTACTCTTAAAAGGACTCGAAGAAGAAGAAGAAGAAGAGGAAGAAGCAGAAAGGGAAGAAGAGTAAGAAAGGCAAGGGTAAGCGAAGGAAGCGCATAAAGATGGCAAGTGATTCTTCGGGCAGCGAGAGCGACGAGGTGATTTGTCTTGGGAAACACGTATGTAGTGGCTGACTGTGCGACGCAGTGCTTTCTGTCTATTGATTTCATCTTACTTTGTTACGTTTGGCCGTAGTAGTAGCTAGTAGTGCGGGTGCTCCCCACTTAATGTTGAACGATGTTGTTTTGTTGACGTTGTTGATGAACGTTCCCTTGTTTTGCTATAATTGCTTCGCATGGTCTTCTGCTAGCAGTGACCAGCATGCCTTGTGTGCATGTATTACGTGTGAATGACTGTGATTCCCATGGAAATATTCCCATAAAAGTATTGATGCAGTTAATGTTGCATTGCGTCCCCTTTTTCTACTGATTCAAATACGACATTAAGTGTAATTTGATTACTAAGTTCTGGAATCTTAAAGTGATTACGTAATAGTAAAAATTTAAAAAAAAATCTTACTTTTTCACAAAATATAAGTAAGTCTGTTAACTTTTTATGGTTAAATTTCTGCATAATACTTCTTATTTTACTATATTGTTCGATGTGAACATACACTCATGACTCATACATAGCCCATAGCAAGCAATTAATGTCAGGAACACAATATCAAATCGTCCAGGTTATTTGGATTTTAAACTAGTTGAGAAACAATCTTATCAGGTAAGAATTTGACGATACGTTTAGTCCCGTTAGTTCTTACTTTTAATGTAAAAAAATGGCAACAAAAATGTTACAAATTTTACCATAGAAAATTCGTGATGTAGTCAATTTCAACTGGTGTGATGCTTGTATGTCTGAGAAATTGATGTTTGGGAGGTTTCAAAAATCTAGAGGCTGCATCCAATATTTTAGATATCAGTACTGTAGAGCACAACATTTAAAGGCCTCCTTTAGTGATGAAAAATAGTTACATATATCAAATTAACTATGTTTTGTACAACTACTAAGAAATTTACAGGTTGAATGGTTTTCGGGTGTATGAGAAAAAAACATTTTTTGATGAACACAATGTTAAGAATTTGCGGGAACGCAAAAGCGCCACCTACTTTGGCGCGTGACGTAGTGCTTGTGTGCGGCGCAACGCCGGAAGAACCTGGTATTACGTCACAGCCGTTTTCCCACCAGGTGACCGGTTTGGCAGAAGATTTGATTTTCAATATTTATAGACCCAACATAGACGTGTTTTAAACATCACAGAGGCAACCAAAAAATATACGAATGCTTTCGTTATTTACGTGTTGATACTAGCTTCAAATAATTGTAAATATTTGACATTTTAGAGATATCACTAAAGAAGGCCTTTAAAATGCTGAAATTCCATATAGGTGTTGCTGGCTCCCCAGTTAAACATCGGCTGTTCGAATTGCATTGCCCCGCCGGTCGCCATTTTTTTTCTTTAGCTTTAGCGTTGA